CACATTTTATAACTCTTATAAAATTTAAGAAATTAAAACTATAAACATGCATTGAAAGCATACATTAATATAACAATTATATTATCCAAAATAATGTCATGCTCAATGCAACTTTATTTTCATCTAATTAATACAACACTTATATTAATTACGAAAATAAAACATGCATACATACATTATAACATTTATAACTATATGATGCATGACCATACATACATACTATATATCAAACATACATATTATGCATGTAACCTATAGTGGGATTTTAAAACTATATGGCATACAATATGCTATATGATTTTAATTAAAATATACATTCATAATGCATAAAATAATTAAATAGCAAAGTTGGAACAGCTTTTGGCACCCTAAGAAAACGAAATAATACAAAATAAGAAAACCGACTGCATCCGCCCTCGAACCGCGAACCGGAGCCTCGGAACTGCATCGAAAAACACCCAGGACAGCGCCTCGGCGCCTAAGGGCAGCGCCACGGCGCTGTGTGCTGTCCCCGCAGCGCCATGGCGCTGTCTGCGCAATCTGCTTCGTCTTCTTCGCTGTTTTCTGCAACTTTTTGCCCAATCCAACGCCACGAACGACTTTCAAGCCACCCGGACTTATAGAAATAAAGCAGAAACATAATGCCCAAAACACCGGGCCCTTACATGATCGAATCACGAAGAAAAACGCTATTTAAGTGCCAAAAACTGGAAATTTTCCAACCCGCAAACCCATATTTCGAAAATATGAAATCACCCACCAAACACAGCGATTTTGATCCCAAAAAATCAGAACTGCAACCTGGCTCTGATACCAATTGAAGGGATGAGAATCCCGGAGCGGAAGCGGATCTTCGTTGCTGATTTTCGGGATACAAAACCGAAATTGAAAGAAGGAAAATACAGAGGAAACTTTACCTTTGAAGAACGTTTCTTCAACGAGTTTTCCTCGAACACCACCACTATGTCTTCCTCGGGTCTCGGGATCGTACTGGTGGGAGCAATCCTTTGGAACGAGAGGGAGAGATTGAGAGACCTCTTTTAATTGAGAGAAAAAACGTTTTGGGTGTTCTTCTTCTTCTGTGTTCTGTATTTTGCAGAACTGCAAAAACAAAACAGAAGCAGTGACGTGGGGTAACTCCCCACATCACACTAACCTCCCACTCCCCTGCAATTTTACAGGGGAGTTTAATATTATTAATATTAATAATATATATATATATATATATATTTATATAATAATTAAAATATAAAAATTAATTTATTAATTAATCATATTAATTAATAAATAATTATTAATTATTAATCCAATTAATAATTAATATATATATATATATATATATATAAATCAAATAAATAATTAACACTTAATTATTTACCACAAAAAATAGAATCATATTCTATAACATTTCTCTCGTATAACCTATAGTTCTAATGTACATCTTATGCACATTATTTTTAACCTATAGTTTTAATATGAATCTTATTCATATTAATTTTATTTGAATCTCATTCAAATAATTTCTCTCATAATATATTGTTTTAATTTATAATTAACTATATATTATAATGTATCGATACACGTATAATCCTTAAGTAATTTGAACAATTCATATTCTTCCAAAAACTTGATCCTCGTTTTACCCGTTATGAGCTAGCAAGGGGACCTAATGGACCTACAGATCCGAAGCTCCAACGATGCAAGATTAATCGGTCAAACTCATTGACCGAGTTAATCTAGATTCGTTAACTACGGGTCATTCTACTAAAGACCCGCAGTTGCACTATTCTCACTGCAGAATATTTTCGTGTCCATGGATATACGACTATTCATGACGAGTCAATCCTTCACGAGTGTTCGTAACTCAAGTTGGGTCAAATTACCGTTTTACCCCTGAGTTACATCTTACTCCTTAAACACCACTGCTCCTCTAATGAACAACCCGGTTATGGTCCAACCAATAACCGGAAGTCCCTCTCGGCCAATGAGAGGGTGGGGCCGCTTGTTCAAGTCCCGGAGTCAGCATTTAAGGGAACACTCATCTACTCCCCTAAAGTCGGGGAGGAGTGAATTTGATCTTGTGAAGTTATATTCCCAGCTCCCTACTCGGTCTCGTCCCCAAAATGGTAGGAATGTTGAGTCGGCGACTCGGGCCACTCTCATCCATACAGATCAAAGGACGAGCCCTCACAGGCAGGAGTTCATAACTCACTTAGGATTGAGAATGAGTTGCCTGGTCATCCTAAGAAATAGCAACCTATTAGTTAACGGTGTTATATCTAAAGATTGCCTATTTCGTGGTCCGGTCTTATACAAACTCATTGTATAGGATACCCCCACTCGCATGTCTCCACACGAACGACCTGGATCGAGTCGTCTGTAACCTTTACAGAGTGGGCCGTATCCATAATGTTGCCAGGATAAGGTACCCAGCCTTATCCATATACTATAGACCCTTTAAGTTATTCACGGGACATTATCCATTCATATATCAGGGGTATATCAAATATATACCTCGTATATCAACTATATACCCAGTATATATACTGTCCCGATTATAAATAACCTTGGATGTTTAGTTTATTGGATTTGGACAATGCAATGCTATGTTTCAACAACAAATTTATTGAATAAAACTTTATTGAATATACATTTGTTTTTACATAATACAAACTACGAGTTTAGGGCAACACACCCAACACAAACGTTAGAGGGATCGATTCTAATTCTTCAGCAGGCTTTCCTTTATCTAAGGTGGGTGATCCATGCGATGACTGGGGCTCGGGTCGGTGTTTTCATCGTTATTGATTGAGTCGTTATCTGCCGGGAGCACAACACTAGTTGCATGATCTAATCTCACGGTATGAGACGTTATCATCCCTTTGGCGGTTAAGTGGTCATCCACCGGAGATGTCGGACTATTAGTGTGGCTTCTCACTTCACCACCAATGTCTTATCGCTCACTCTGGATGATCTGATTAGAGCTCTGGCCATGTTATTCTTTTTGCCCTAAGACTTGTGGTTTCGTCTCATTTGGAATTTCCTCGGGTAAGACCCGTTCTCGGTTCATCCTTTTCTTCGGATGGGTCGGCTTATCTCCTCCAGGATCTGTCCCGGAACTTGTTGCTTCGTTTGTTCTGGGTCTTGTCACAGAACTTGTCGACTTGCTTTATCTTGAGATCTCCTTAGATCTTACCAATTCTCAGTCAATTTGTCGTCAATCATCTTGATCGACCCCTCTATACGTTCTGGAACTTGTCGATCATTCTCTCTAGGAGTTTGTTCGACAATCTGCCGGCTCGTCTCACCCAACTCCTCCTAGCAGCAGGTCATCCATGTTCAGCTTCCTCTTCGTAAGGCACTTCTCATAAGAGCATCGTGGACTTTCCTCCGGTTTCATGTTGCTCGGTCGTATGATTTTTATCATCCCCACAGACGGCGCCAATTGTTGATGCTTAAAATTTGGCCTCCTCGGTTCTCGCCAAATGTGCACCAAGCTCGATAATCACAGGACCAGATACCTACAAAATCGAACAAGCCTAACCCGATGTGACTTCAGTCACACTAGCTCCGATGCTTAAGTCAGCGATGGAAGAATTACTAAGTGAAGTACTTAGGATTTATTTGCTTATCTCTAAGCTTCAGCCAGTGGTTCCATTTATAGGAGTCTTGCCTTCTGGAACCTTCTCATTGAGCCCATCTATCTGTCGTTGCTGGATCACAGGAATTCGTGGACCGGGTCACCTCTCCCAATGGAAGAGGAGAGAAAGTGGGTTCGGCCCAGGTCGGCGCCGAGCCGGAGTCAGGACCGAGCCTCGGCTCGCTCTGCTTGTCGCTGGGTTTGGCCCTCTCTGGTTTGTAGATGCCCATTTCCTTGGCCGGGTACAATCCCATAACATAAGAAGAGTGCATATTTTGTTTCATTAACTTAAAAAAATTAAGAAAAATAAAATAACGTTTCACTAATTGGATTTTATTTTTGTAATCAAAATTGGAATTTATTTTTGTAGCATTTAGTCTGTTAGTGATTTGATTTGATCTGTTTTCAATTTGTTTCCTTGTTCTTCATGCTATACAGTTTGTATTTTGTACTCAAAAAGAAAAAACCTAATCGCGCTAAACAAATGTAAGCTGTTTTCTAAAATAATAAAAAATGAATATATACGGGAAATGATCTAGTTTTGATATCTATCAACATATTTATATAAAAATTTCCTTAAATACAAATTAAGATAGGAACTATATCAATAATCTTAAGATTAAATAATTATTTCTAAAAGTTAATGATTATTTTTTTAAATTACAGTTCTATTTCTTAAATGTAAAATTACATCCTCACAATTTCAAATTATAATCTGTCAATAAATCTCAACCACATATCTTAAAATAATTAAATAAAATCGTCCAAATAATATGAACTTATACGTAATTTTATATTTATAGAAATTAAGTTTCTTTACAAATATATTTTAAATTTTTTTAAAAATTTACTAAATATAAAAAAAAAACTTCGTATATCTATTTTTCATTTTAAAATTTGACCAGTTTTTTTAAAAGATATAATACAAAACAAAATGTTGGTAGTAAGCAAACATAACTTTGGAAACAAAATTCTAACCTGATTCTACCATAACTTTTGGGATTTAAAATTTCGATTAGTTAAAAATATTTGTTTTTTAATATCAAATATAATTAATTATTATGAAAGACGGACTTATTGCTTCATCATTTTTAAATTAAGAAAGTCTTTACCATTTCACAAAATGTATACCATGTATAATGTATTGAGATATTTTTTATTATTTTGCATGATTGAATTAGAAAAATCCATTTTACATTACCATTAATGAAAAAACAAATATAATTATTATGGTACATGAATATATCGTACACAAAATCTATTTTATATTTCTAAATTAGGTGTTATTTTATTTATAAATCAAAGTATATATAGGTTTGGGAGGGTGGGGAATGTTTGTGAGAGGGCAAAATGGGTTTCCTATCAAAGTTCAATATGGGCTGTGTTTTCTTGTTCCTTTCTTTTGTTGCTATTTTATCCGATGCCAACACTGTTGAAGCAAGGAGGGATGCAAATGGAGATGTGCTCGCTTTGGATCTCAAGAGACGCGTTCCAATGGGTCCAAATCCAGCAACATCTCCTGAACGACCTCCATTTACTTTAGGCCTTAAGAGGCATGTGCCGACCGACCCAAATCCAACAACATCTCCTGATAGACCTCCATTAACTTTAGGCCTCAAGAGGCGTGTGCCAACAGGCCCAAATCCAGCAACATCTCCAGAAAGTCCTCCATTTATTTTCGGCCTCAAGAGACGTGTGCCGACGGGACCAAATCCAGCAACATCTCCTGAAAGACCTCCATTTACTTTCAGCCTCAAAAGGCGTGTGCCAACGGGCCCAAACCCAGCAACATCTCCTGAAAGACTTCCATTTACTTTCAGCCTCAAAAGGCGTGTGCCAACGGGCCCAAACCCAGCAACATCTCCTGAAAGACCTCCATTTACTCTCGGCCTCAAAAGACGTGTGCCGACAGGCCCAAATCCAGCAACATCTCCTGAAAGACCTCCAATTACTTTGGGCCTTAAAAGGCGTGTGCCGACGGGTCCAAACCCAGCAACATCTCCTGAAAGGCCCCCGTTTACTTTGGGACTCAAGAGGCGTGTGCCGACGGGCCCAAACCCAGCAACATCTCCTGAAAGACCTCCAGTTACTTTGGGTCTGAAAAGGCAAGTACCGACGGGCCCAAATCCAGCAACATCTCTTGAAAGGCCTCCGTTCACATTTGGCCTCAAGAGGCGTGTGCCGACGGGCCCAAATCTAGCAACATCTCCTGAGAGGCCTCCATTTGCATCGGGCCTCAATTGATGTTTTCCAATCGGCCTTCAAACATCATCTCATGAAGTACTATCTTGAGATAGACTTGTTTTGTACCAGCTCAAATCTATTGTTATCTCTAGTGGAGTTACCCTACTTCACTTCTCCAATAATGTGCGAATAAGTTCATGGACACAAACTTTAATAACATTTCGTTTTCTGTTTCTTTTAATTCTATAGTTACAGTTCATTAATACATCATCAACACATGTTTTTAATGGACGTGTTTTTGTTAGACTCTTAGAAATTCATCATCTACTCTTAAATCACACACTAGTAGAAATTCGGTTTATCGTGACGTTTTTTTAACGTCACCAAAATCTTTCGTGAGGTTTTTTACGCCGTCACGTATACGCCCATCACGAAAGGTATACGCGATGTTTAAAAAACGTCAAAAAAATTAGCACACGTGACGGTTATAGACCGTCATGCAAAATATCAGCTTTCGCGACGCTTTTTAAACGTCATAAAAAATGATTTCGTGACGTTTTAAGACCGTCACAATTGATACTTTCGTGACGTTTAAAGAACGTCATCGTAAATGAGTTACCGTGACGACATTAGATTTTGTGACGGTTAAACAACGTCACGGAAAGACGATTCATTAAGGTGACGTGATAGCTTTTCGTGACGTTTTTTAAACGTCACAAAAGAAGATTTCATGACGTCTCAAAACTGTCATAAAAACGATTTTGTGACGTTTTAAAAACGTAACGAAATATTTTATTTTGTGACTAAAAAAATCACAGAAAATGTAATTGATTTTGTTTGCAGACGTTGCAGAATAGAAATATCATATTATAAATAAGTTGTCAATCGACATCGCAAAGACATTAATTTATATAACAAAGTTGAAATATAGTAGGAGCAAAGTATTGTCAAAGTATTCTCGGACTTGCTAGTACATTATATTAAACATGTTCAAACTACTACAAACACAAATTACAGAATTAAACAAGTCTCACACACCAACCCCAACAAAGAAGCTCATCCATCAATTAGTTGCATTCCTAATTGTCGACTTCTTTGGATTTGTGAAAGACCTAATGAAGAAAACAATACCCAAGTTAGATAAATGAATAACCAATAAATAGATAAGGGAAGAAAGTCACTTCTAAAATAACAAGTTCTATTTATTAAAGGGTGCAAAGGGTCGAAAGGATATTAAATAGACAAAAAATACACTTATAAAAAATAAATCACCTGTAAACAACTAGAATGTGAAATAAATACACAATAAATGAACCTGATAAGTTGAGATAAGATTGATTACATGAACTTGTCAGTTAAGAAATTGAGTGAGTAGACGAACTTGAGCGCGAAAAGTAAAAAAAGAAGACAAATATGAATTATTGAGGTGAAATACAATAGTTTGAGATGTACATATACATCACCTTCAATTGAGAGTGATGCATAAGTTGGGAGAAGAAGAATGCACCTACACCTGCACAATTGAGAGTAATCCTTCATGAAGATTAATATTATCTACAACTTATCATGGATCTTAATATAGATCCCTATATCCAATAGAAATATCATTTCGAACAATATTTCTAAATCTAACCTAATGTCCAATATACAAGTCCAAGCAGATAGAAAGAACATAATTAGAATAAGGTTTATATAAAACTATGAGACATTAACTTAAACGTTTTAACTTCAAAGACTGATGCAAGATGATAGTTGAAATAAGGAAAAGGCAAAATAATAATAATAATAATAATAACAAGCTCAACGAGAAAAGAATGAACATTAAAAAGAAAAACTACCAACAAAATGCCATATTATTATGGAATTTTGAATCAATAGTCAGAATCTGAAGCAATACACTAATACAAGAGTTAAATACCTTAAAATAAACAAGATAAGCTCCAAAACTAAGCCATATTGACCACTTTTTGAGGACTAGTTGATCATTTTATGAACTCATCGTTCTCGAATTCTATAACTGCAAACTCCATAACCAATCACATGCTTTAAGATATTGAAATAGCATTATTCTGGCATTTGCATATTAATAACCAATCACATGCTTTAAGATATTGAAATAGCATTATTCTGGCATTTGCATATTAGTAACTAAATGATACAAACTAAGAAACACAATTTAAAAAGCAAAGGATCCAGATCTAGAAAAGACTAAAAGGAAAATAGCTAATAGCTGATCATTATACCAAATACGAAGAACCCAGGTCAAAGGAAAAGACTCCAAGATGGAAGAAGTGGAACTCAATATAATGCATACTCCACAACTACAAAAACTCAATTATAATTAAGTTTAATGAAAAATGTTACACATAAATATAAGTTTTGATTCCAGAATTTTAACAAACAAGATCTCGAGAAAAATATAATGTTTTACAATGATTGTAGTCATAACAGAGCATAGTCAAACAATTATAAACAATTAGAATAAATCATAGTCAACCAGAACATCCAACATTCATAGAGAAACATCTAGCAACAATATCCAACGAGCATTAAGAGATAAAACACACAGATTAAAACATGATATTCATACTAAGCACACAAAAAATATCCTTCTAAGTAAGAGCTACTTACAACTCGCCTAAACGCTCTTGAAACCTAGGCAACAAGGTAAAATCAGCATGTTACGACTCAGTTTTGGCTACTAAAGTTGAATCTAAAAGGGTGTTCAAAGGGTCGTTACTCACTGAACCTTGCTGAAACGATGACAAAAATGTTGGGGTTTGTAGATCTTATGACAACAAGGTGTGGGTATCACGGATCGGGATTTATTTGGGCATAGGTAAGTGTCGAGAGTCACTGAAACAGAGTGAAAAACCAGAATTACATTATCATTTACTTCTACTGGATGGGCTACTTCAAAGAAAAACTACTCTCTAAAATGTTGATTGAGAATCACGAATAGACATCACATAAAGTAGAAGTATCTAAAATGGGAGGTCATGCATATGACACCTATAGTTTTTTATCGTTTAATTATCACACATACAATGACTCCAATCTAAAATGGGAGGTCATACATACAACAGACGTCAGATAAAGTAGAAGTATCTAATATGGGAGGTCATACATATAACAAAATATTTCGATCATTTAATTGTGACTTCTATAGTTTTAGCAACCCATCTAACTATTATAGTGATCAATCACCATAATGCTAAACCTACTATACATAATTTGGATTAGGCCTGAAGAAAAACATCGTCGGAAGAATGCAACAGCAAAAAAGCACAAACATATAGACAACTACTTCAAATCATTGAGATAAATTGTTTAACATCAAATTAGTTTCAATGATAATTGATTAATGTTGGAGCATATTGGATTGGCACTAAGAGACTTCCGGTATGTCTTGTAATAACAAGTTAGGACTTCAGATATTGAACTATTAAGAATGAGTTTTAATCACAAAATCAACGGAATGATTTTAAATCATTTTCTAATTTTGATATCCATGAGTACCTCAAGCAATCTCACAAGACAACTGCCTAGTCCTAGAACATTTGGTTGCCAAGAAACTCGTAGAATGATTATTAAACATCAATGGTAAAATCCCCCAAACAAGTTCAAACCATATATTAATATAACCGGACCAGTATGTATAACTAACTTCAATTCTAGTTTCCAAGAACTCACAACACTTCCAACAGTCTTGATTTCAGTTATTGTATATTTTTTCAAAAGTAGAAGAATTGCAAATTAGCATAACTCGCCTTGATACTGTTAACAAATATCACTGTCTCACTTAAAGCGGAGTCCATGTAATCTGGCCTCTCTAGAAATAAGCACTTTTAAGGGCAGATTGGCGATTCATTGTGGCACTACAGAAGTTTGTACTATATGCAAAACCAATGGTTCAATGAATGGTGTATTGAGTGAAAACTATCCAAACCCTATAACAATCAAGTAGTGGCACAATAGCAGAAAATGAGAATTCTTAAAATGTGACAAGCATCACCCAATTTGGCCACCGGATATCTATTGACATCTGTCAAACGTCAACTTAATTACAAATTTAGTTGATTTCATTATTTGGTTTGATAACTTAAAACCAGTAAATATGGTGAAACCCAAATGTAAACCTAAGCAAATGTGAAATAGTCAGACGAGCAGAAGGCTTCAAATAAGATGCAGAAAAGAATCAAGATCAAATACTTAAGGGGAAAATGTTATACTGAAAGAGTTCAAACCGTAAACCAACGGAACAAATTTAAAATTAAACATTCAATCTTCGAATTGAACTATTTTCGGACGGAATCGTAACTACCATATAAGCATTTTTCACAGGCAATTGAAAATTCATTCATATACAAGAGTAAAAAAGTTGCTTACAGATAATAAATTATGTTTGTGCCCGAAATTGATGAGCTCGAATACAATTTAGATCGGTACGTTCAGGACGAACTATGGCCAACGGTCCCACACCTTCCCTGAACACTCTTGAGACCTGCAAAACAAAGTTAGCACTCCAACAAGCAAGTTAGTTCTAGTCTGAACTAACTTGCCGAGTCTACTTAGGATTGCGTACCTTGCATTTAAGGCTAAGGTTTCTATTTATAGAAACTGGGCCCGACAGGAGTTCTGCCACACCCTAAAATCGCGGCATGTTGTCGGGTACGGAAGGGACATTGTTACGGACTTTGTCTCAGGTCGGCTCGGCGCTTTAGGTCCTACCCTGTCTGCCGACCTGAGTACTTTGGAGCCACTTTCTATATTTCGTCCGCATGTTCATCTAACTCACCTTTTGGATCATGACACGTGGCAGGCCAGGATTC